AACAGAGGCCACTGTTATTTAGGCATAAGTTATAATCATTGTTTCTTTATTTTTAGAAAATTACAATAGAAAAGTACCTTTAACAACATTTTTTTTAAAAAAAACAAAACCATAAATTGGAAGCATCTTCTGTTTCTGCTATTGCCAATAGGAGGAGATATGGAAAAATCAAGTTTTTTTGCTGACAAAGTCCGACACAATTCTGTTATTCAGCCACCCACTGTCACATTTTAATTCTGTTCTCAAGTCTTCCATTTAGTTTTAAGAATAGGTTTTTACCTACCCCCCTTTCCCCTGCAATTTTAAAGCCTCCGACTGCTTGACATTTGTCACTTGTATTCCCTGCAAAATACTGCATTCTCTTTAAGACAATGAAGTCATTGGTTCTCAGGAGAATTAACAATACTTGGGGAAGCCCATTTGGAAAGATTTAACCGTATTAAAACAGTTTCCTTGTTTAGTCAGAACTACCAGTATTGTTATGGAAGTAACCGTATAGCTGTATCATGACTAGATTGCAAAGGAGGATAGGAAGCAAGAATCTGGCATGTGGAGCATATCATTCAGGAAAGAAGGAAGCTCATCTGTTGGAAGTTTTGTCTTCTACACCAATAAATGATCCAGGAGCCCTGGCCTTCTCTCCACATCATCATGGTACTCAGAGGGACTGGTTCACATAATCATCTTTTGACAACAAGGTCAATTCTAATTAATTTTTTTTTTTACTTCTCTGCCTTTTGTGAAGCAACTGTTTTTGTTACATCACTATAGACAGATATCCTGATTGACTGATTTACAGGCAGGTTGTCCAATGGTGCCTAAATAATGTAACCAACTTCATTAGCAGGTCAGAGGACACAGCATACAAGCTGCATTCACTCAACCCACATTTCACACCTGAAAATGGTGGCATGAATCAGACTCGAGAAGGCAGATGACTAATCAAATCCATTGTGTCCATGCCCCAGTTTACTGCACAAGCAATCCAAGTAGTTGTTCAGTAAGAGAGAGACAATCACATGCAAAATCAAGCTGGTACTCTCGCCCAATACCTCAGGGGATCCTGGCATTCATCTTGGCACTGGTGGAACAACACTTTATGCAAAAGTAGGTACACAGGGGCTGCTGAATTCCTCTATCCCAGAAATGTCTGTGTATAGACAGAGGGCAGGCATCAAACTAATAGAACAATGGTGCTGCGTTGGCTCTTTTTATGTGAGTTTCACACAACCTGGCAGCCTTGCACACACATGGAGGATATTAGTGGAGACATTGGAAGGTCAACTGTTGTATCCAAGTTTGGCACTGCCTAGAAAATCTGTACAGAAGAAGAGCCTTAGCTCCGGATCCAGTGAAAGAGAAGGCCTTTGGTTTTCTGCATGCATATGGGATAATGGCATGAAATGAACTTAAGCTTTGCTGCTCAATGTTTCAGTCAGCTTCACAGACAGCAGCATTACCGGCTAACAACCACCGCCACCTTAGCAGAACCAATCCTTCCTGTACATGGAGCAAAGGCATGCAAATGTACCCTTATTTCTTTTAAAACAAGTAGACTAGGAATGCTATGAACCTACTTTACAGAAGACATTTCCTCCGTGGCTCTGCCATTCAAGACTGGTTCCCATAGCCCAACTAGATGCTTTTCCTTTTCTACCAAGGAATCCTACTGGTTACACAACGGCATGTTGGGAACTATGTGTCCGAATGAATACAGTATGCAGAGGTAGCTGCAGTCATTTTATTGTGACGACTGCACTTTTTCTAGCTGTTATAATTATGAAAATGGTCTTAGTGCACAGTAGAAAGCCATAGAAAAAAGCACATCTCCCCCATATAGTTTTATATCAAAATATGTGACCACAGATAAAATACAGCATAAACCAGCTGTCAGAACTGCCAGTATACTGCTCAGCACACGGTAATATATCCCAAAGTTACAAAGACATTTGCATATCTGATTGTCTTGCTTGATATAATTTGGCACAACTGGGAGAAGCACGTACCACAGGAATACTTCATATGTTCAACACACATCCTCTCAGGCTCCCCGTCAGGATAGCCAAAGAGTCTATACAATTTAACAATACACTTTAAAAATTTGAACAAGATTTAAAAACATGCCTTGAACATGCAGCTTAAAAGGACAGGGAAAGAGAAATTTCAATTACACGCATTCAAAAAGTCAAGAACGTAATCAGTGATCCAACCCAATGTAAGATCTTTCCACTTAAAATGCTTAGTATAAAAATACTTGGTTCTCTTTGTTGCTTTGTTTGAAAATAAGTTTTTCAAACCAGATGTTCAGCCATGCTTTTTAGAATTTGCACTCTTCCTTACAATTTTATACAGCATAGAAGAGGAAAACATTATTATTACTCAGTATTTTTACTTTACTTCTAAAAGAGCAGATGTGTGATAGAGGCTGTGGCAAAGTCTTGAAGGAATCCAACCTTGTGTGAGGTTTTTTCAAGCCTGTAAGAAAGGCAAGATGCATCAGTTAGAAAAAGGCAATCACAATCTTGGAACGATGAGAAAGTGGAAGAGTCTGTGGGTGTTCACGTATATATAGACACTTAGACCTCTAGGCCAGGGGGTTTCAGGCACAAGGCACAGGGCCTCTCAATAACATAGGGAGCACCTTGCTGAAACAGATGCAGTGCTGAAAAGTAGGATACCCCTCCCCTCTATGGAATCTGCTAGTGGAGAAATTGACAGTTCTGCTCAAGACCTTCTCTTAAGAGCAGAACAGAACCTTTAGCACTCAAAGAATAATGTGTGAGCACAGGGCACAACAGAATAATAATAATAATTTTTATTTATACCCCGCCCTCCCCAGCCAAGGCCGGGCTCAGGGCAGCTAACAAGCAATAATAAAAACAAGCTGAATGAATACAACTTAAAAAGAAGATTAAAATACAACATTAAAATATTGAAACATTAAAATACTAAAATGCAGCCTCATCACAGGAGGAGAAAGAAAAAAGAAGGCGAGGATGGATTAAATTATGTACAGGAATTCTTAAACTTTCTTGTGTCGTAAGACCCTCTGTTTGGATTTGCACACTGATTTCACTGTCAGAACCACCACTGTATGCATGGGCTCTGGGGGTGCCTCTTCCTGTGAATGCATTTCTCACTCCTTGGCAGTGAGAGAGGCATGCTTCTGACCGATTCCAAAAGGAAAGCAACACCAAGTGTTACTGCTGAGCTCAAGCCAATTGAATTAGCAAATTGCTATCTCAAAGAAAGCTTCAGTGCAGCCAAACGCAAAACAGAGCTCTTGTATGAACAAAAGCTTTGCCTTCTGAAGCTATGCTATATATCAGGGATCGGCAAAGTTTTTGTGGCTTGGGCCGGTTCACGGTCCCGCAGACGCTATGGCATATCTGTCAACCATCCCCTATTTGGCGGGAAAGTCCCTTATCCCAGCACCGTGTCCCGCTGCTGTCCCTTATTGATTATGTCCCTTAAATTCCCTGGGTTTCAAAGGAAGCAGCTCCTCTCCCTCCCTCCCTGCCAGCCAGGGAGGAGGGAGGCTCCAACTGTGTTGCTTGGCTGCGTTGCTCACCCAATAAGGAGTCTAAGAACGACTGGGGGGGGGATGGAGCTTGCATGCCTTGTGCCGATCAAATTGGCCGCGTTGCCTGGCGACTCGCCTTTGCTCAGCGCTTCCCAGCGGAGAGGTGACGGTGGTTTTCCTTGCTGCATCCCCTTTGCCAGGTTGCTGCGCTGTGGGAACCACCGCTTGAGGCTTCGTTTGGCTGCTGGCTGGGCTTTCTGCCCTTGGCTTGGAGGGGCTCAGAAGTTGAACATACCCGTGCTTTGAAAATCCCTTATTTTGGCTGCTGATCCCTTATTTTTTGAGGCTGCTGGTCGCTTATTTTCAAATCTGTAAGTTGACAGCTATGTGCTACGATGGGCCGGAGTGTGCACGCACGCATGCGCAAACGCTATTTCCGGCATTCCTTCTGGCGCAGAGGAGGCGTGCGCAGCTTCCCATTGGCTGCAGGAGCTTCCTGCAGCCAATGGGAAGTGGGCCAGCGTTGCAGAAGGCAGTCCCCACTCTGCTCCGTGCTGGTTTAATGCAGCGCATGGGAGCCGACCGAGCAGGCAGCGGGGGCCCATGGGCCTTAGGTTGCCAACCCCTGCTATTTACTGATCACCCAGCAGCAGCCAACTGGTGGTTTTTCAGCACAAGGTTATTTCCACCTAGCACTGCCAGCTTGGTTATATGCCAGGGAAGATGCATATAAACAGCATTTATTCAGCAGAGTCTCTTGGCTCAAAGTCAAGATGATCCAAGATGAAAATGGAGGGTCTAAGGCTTTTGGCTGTACTGCTTAAACTGTTTGGCCCATCAAATTAAAACATCTTTTCACAACCAGGTCTTCACTTACCCACCACACCGCAAATTTGAAGATGGAGGTAAGATACCAGTAGCGACTTAGGAAGAACGCATTAATACCCACAAGACAGATTGTAGCCGCCATCACACACCTGGTACCTGCACAACAGAAAGGTACATGCACTGTCAGAAACAATAATGCTTCTTTAGAATGAAATGGGTAATATGACAAGGACCATCTGTTAAAAGGAGATATGAAATCATGTCTTCAAATTGCAAGAGAGTAGATGCACAACACACAAAGAGTTACGTTACCAGAAATACTGCCACAATCATTATCTTAAAACTTTAGCATTATATTCATCTGTGGGACAGTTGGTATTATTCCCCATAATGGATACAAAGATTCTTAATATGAATATCTCCTTATTGAAAAAAGTTGCTGCATTATAGGATTGATTGTTTATTTGTTTAAACTTGATTGTTTAAACGTAATAGCTGCTTGTCACCCAAAGCTCTCCAAGCGATTTACAATAAAGAAAAATACACAATACATAGCCAGGGCTTTTTTTTCCAGGGGGAACTCACCAGAAATCAGTTCTGGCACCTCTTAGGTGGGCACCATTGCCATTCTAAGAGAATGAGTGAGTTCCAGAACCTCTTTTTCTAGAAAAATAGCACTGCATAGGCCCTTGGATATAATTATATAAAATACATAGGGCCTTTTTTCCCAGTGAGTACAATGACTGGACAAATGACAGAGATTGGACACCTTAGCTTCTGTGTTTAATAGTGAAATCTGAAGATTGCCTCTATCTAGGAAAATCCATTTATAATAGTGCAGGAGATTGGAGAGAGTTCTCAGCACAACCTCAACTTACAAATCTGCTAAACCACAACAGCTGTAGCCAAACTAATTAGACATCAAGAATATAAGCAGCGGTTTGCCCTGGATCCACTGTGCTATGTGCATGAGGAATTATAATTTCAGGGTGAAAACCTACTGAGCCTTTACTCTTGATGACTTTCAAACAATGCTGACTGTACACTAACAACACCACATTTGTCCCTTTGCTTCTTTTCTCTCCCTTGTTTTTTTCTTTTCTATGACAACCTCAGCAGTATTCAATTTTTTTCTAGCTTGAAAAGCCCCACTTTTGCAAATGACACAATAACAAGAGTCCAGCTTAGGGACAGGGTTAGAATGCTCCTATGCAGCCAAAGCCACAACTAAGCTGGACTCCTATCGAATCCTTCCTCCATCCGGTGTTCCCAGTTGCACAGTAGCTTTATTAACTATGTTTTCTTAAGGTGCCCCTTTTTTGCTGAAGCTTGACCTGTTTTTAAAAGGCCACGAGAAGCCTCCCTTCACCCAATCTGACCAGCACCCCAGCTCCAACACCCAAAACATTGTTTTAAATAAAAAGGGCAGCTCGACACAAGCAACACACCATGGCTATTCCTCCTTTCTTCCCTCAGTATCTGGACTTTGGAAGTCTACCTCTGCACATCAAGGGACGGTCGTTATATTTGGCTAGTATAGCCAATAAATTAACCAAAGGATAGGCCGCTCAATGGCCACTCTTTCCACTGAATGCCTTTTGGGTGAGGTTATGGTAATTTATTTATTTGCCAGTCTCCTTTTGCATTTGTCTAAAGGCAATTTACGAACATGCCGTAAAACACGGCTAAAAATCGTTTGAACAACAGTACAAAAACAACAGCTAAAGGCAGGTGTCCATTTTGCATGGTTTTTAAATCTAAAGTGGATACCTTTTCATCCGAATGGATAAGCTTGTCAAAACAAAACAAGGTCTTCTACTGTTTCTGTAAAGTACAGGTTAAGTGTGCTCCTGTCACAAAACAAGGGCAGCCCCACTGAAAGCCTTCCTTTCAGTTCCTGTGCAGAAAGTTTCTTATATTTGGGGGACTTTGAGGAAAAACTCCCCTGCAGAACACAGTGTCCTACTTGGTATAAAAGAGAAAAGGTAGCCTCGATCTTGAACTTGGTTCAGTAGCAGGATTGGCTGCTGGCAGTAGGTTTGCTCCCATAAGCAGCCTAACAGAAACTGCAGCCTCAAGGGTAGCCTCCCGCCCCCCAAGAGCACTGCAGTAATCCAACTTTGAGGTTTCCAATAACAGACAACTGTGGTCCAGCTGTCCTCCAGGAATGGCTGCATCTGCCTTACCAGGTGAAGCTGGTAAAAGACACTCGTAGCCGCTGAGGACACCTGCGTCTCTAGTGTACTAATGCTACATGCAAGGGGGCAAATTCCCATGGCCAAGTGCATCATGTATACTTGCTGAAACATGTAAATAATGCTTAGAGAGGCAGGTGCTTGACTTGTTACATTAGTCTCAGCACTTCTTAAAATAGAACCCTTTTGTCTTCTCTTATTGTTCACATAACATGCAAAATCATTGGAGGTGAACTCTTTCTTCACTGAGGCTTTCCTATTGCAGCAGCCAATTTGCAGCTGAGGGATCTGTTCCCAAATATGGCTGTGCGTGCATCTGGAAGGGGGAGAACAATCCACAAAAACTCAAGCCTCATTTTTTGCATGCATCTCTTGCTCACTATGATACGCTGGAATGAAAACAACTCATTGGCTCCCTCTCTCTAGGGGGAAAAAAAACAACCACCACAATCCAATAATCCTAGATAAATTTGGGCTTTGGAAGATAAAATCACTATATTAGGGAAAGGCCATTTGCTGAGTTTATTCTTAAAGGAAAACAGCAGCACATTGTACTGCTAACCACACACAATGAGGTTTGGGTTTTCAGATGTCAGAAGATTAAATAGATTTGTGAGACGGAATTTTGAAATTATTCAGCGTCACAGTACAATAGTTGGTATCTATGTTAAAGCAGGCACCTATTGTCCTGTGATGCTGAACAATTTCAAAACTTTCTGGGGTGGCAGTTGGGTATGTATTTCTTGAGCTAATAAATCAGAATATAAGACAAGAAGTTTCACTGAACACTGCTTGCCATCATCATCAAACCTTTATTGGCATCACATACCGCTTGCCCTTCGCTGCTCATATTCCCTTGAATGAACAGATTAACGAGTGTGTTGGGAGAGATCTCATGTATGTTCTGCTGAGAATGTGTGACAATGAAGCCCAATAGGTATATAGCTAGTACTCTGGCTGAATGGACGGTGTACTTAGGACATGCCCCAGAGTCCTCTGCAACACACAGCGAGACCCAGCTGATGTGGAAAGTGTTCTCTGCCAATAGGTTAGAAGAACACTGTTCTAGAGCAACCAGAACTGTGGGGTATGAAGTGCTTTCTGAGGTTCTGGAACCAGCATTCTGTAAGGGAACAAGTTTTGCAGTTCTCTCCCATCAGTTCGGCCTCACTACTTTCTGTCCTTGCTGGTTCAGTTTTCAAGTCATCCCAACTCGTTTGCAGCATGCAGCTCCGCATGGCATCTTTCACCCTCAAAACTCACGTCCTTTAATAACCCCACTGATTTACAGCTCTCCAACTTTGATGTGCAGCCAGTGAAGTTTTCCTTAATTTTTAAGAACAGCAGATTTGTTTTCTTTGGCTGAAATGGGACGAAAAACAGGGAGGGAAGATTATTGGTCTATTGCTCTCTGCTGCTTTACAGAAAAGCAGGAGGAGACAGACTGCATGTGGGTTGCTTTTATCTTCAGAGGGTCAAAGGAGTTTTTTGTGTTTTGGACACAAACCCCATGCAGTGTATTTTTACCGCTCACGCAGCTATCCAATCAGACTATGGGTTAGTCCCAGACTCTTGAGGACCCCTCCCACGTATCACAGGAGGAAAGTAACAAATAAATGCAGCCAGTGTGGTGTAGTGGTTAAGAGCGGTGGACTAGTAATCTGGGGAACTGGGTTCGCGTCTCCGCTCCTCCACATGCAGCTGCTGGGTGACCTTGGGCCAGTCACACTTCTCTGAAGTCTCTTAGCCTCACTCACCTCACAGAGTGTTTGTTGTGAGGGAGGAAGGGAAAGGAGAATGTTAGCCGCTTTGAGACTCCAAAGGGTAGTGATAAAGCGGGGTATCAAATCCAAACTCTTCTTCATCTACACTTAAGGTATTATTTATGCCCCTGAAAGAAATGGTAGAGATGGGTGATGTGTGACTATGCAGACACTAATTGCTGCCACCCAAGGCAAGGGGAACATCGATTCAAATTGCTGTATTTGACGTAGAACACCTTAAATGGCTCAGGACTACAATACGTCAAGGACCGCCTCTCTCCATGTGAACCTATCCAGCCCCTGATATCATCTTCTGAGACCCTTCTTCATGCGCCTCCTCCTTGAGTGGTCTGGAGGGTGGCAACACAAGAACGGGGCCTTCTCTGCAGTGGCTCCCTGTTTGTGGAATGCTCTCCCCAGGGAGGTTCGGCTGGCACCTTCATTATACACCTTGGGCTGACTGACATCCTATACTCTTTTAAATGTGTTTGTGGGAGAAAGGGGTACAGAAAACGATAAAAGGGTTTGGTCAACAGCATGAACCAGCTCCCTTGCGTTCTAAAAAAGTTGAATGTTTTTTCTCAGAAAGGAGATTGCAAGGAGTAGGGGGGTGGCGACATGGAGGGAGACTACCTGCAACCAGTACAGAAGGACTAATTTCAGGCCCAAGACTGCATGACAAGCAGAGAATGAAAGTAGCAACAAGCCTCTCACCAATCCATATGAGACAGAGGAAGTGAAGAAAACAAAAACAACACAGCGCTAGTGCTCCCTCTTGTGCTAATCTGGAGCATTTTCACAAGGTCTTTCTCATCCACTTACACAGTATTCAGCAGAACTGACGGGACTTCCAGCCCTGAGAAGTAGCCTCTGAGGGAGGGAGCCAGCGCATCTGGAGAGAGACAAAAAATCAAAACAAAAGTGAGAGACAAGACTTGGAAGGCATTTATAAGAGTGGCCCTCAGCCTCCTCGGATGCAGGACTCACCTTTGAATCTCAAGCAACGCGTTCTTTCATTTAAATTAATTTGAAATTTACATCCCACCTTCTTGCAGATGCCCCAAGGCAGCTAAGCAAAGCAGGAAGATTAACAACAGAATACCAGTGAGAGATTTTACTTTCTTGGGCTCCATGATCACTGCAGATGGTGACAGCAGTCACGAAATTAAAAGACGCTTGCTCCTTGGGAGAAAGGCGATAGCAAACCTAGACAGCATCTTAAAAAGCAGAGACATCACCTTGCCAACAAAGGTCCGTATAGTTAAAGCCATGGTTTTCCCAGTAGTGATGTATGGAAGTGAGAGCTGGACCATAAAGAAGGCTGATCGCCGAAGAATTGATGCTTTTGAATTATGGTGCTGGAGGAGACTCTTGAGAGTCCCATGGACTGCAAGAAGATCAAACCTATCCATTCTTAAGGAAATCAGCCCTGAGTGCTCACTGGAAGGACAGATCCTGAAGCTGAGACTCCAGTACTTTGGCCACCTCATGAGAAGAGAAGACTCCCTGGAAAAGACCCTGATGTTGGGAAAGATGGAGGGCACAAGGAGAAGGGGACGACAGAGGACGAGATGGTTGGACAGTGTTCTCGAAGCTACAAACATGAGCCTGACCAAACTGCGGGAGGCAGTGGAAGACAGGAGTGCCTGGCGTGCTCTGGTCCATGGGGTCACAAAGAGTCGGACACGACTAAACGACTAAACAACAACAACCATAACAACAACAGAACGTGAACAAAATGTATCACACTGGCCTTATGGATAAACTGACAGACCTAGTAAGAAGGAGGGAAGGACGAAGGAGCAGACGAGCTAGTAGAGATGGAATTGTTTTATTAACTACTGGTCTCTCCACTATGATAATGTGAGATTAGAAGGGCACCTGTTCATACAGAATACATGGATTCTGTAAGTTTTATACTTGTCTCTAGAGCATCAGGGGACATCGTAAATCTGGAGACGGAAGAAGCATTGTACACTTTTTTCACCCTTGTAATTATGTAAAGTCTTTTTTTATCATTTATCCTTTTTTAAGCATTTATTTTATCTGCAATTTTTGGTGTTATTCGATCGTGTCCCAGTGTCCTGAGGACATCATCATCATCATTATATTATATTATATTTATACCCCACCCATCTGGCTTTGTTTCCCCAGCTACCTAAAAGTTTATTTTGATGTATCCACTGTTTGCTTTTGGCACTGTTACTTTGTGTGTGTGTGTGTGTTTCCTTTTTATCTCTTATAATAAAAATAAACACACACACACACACACACACACACACACACTATTGTAGCTTTAAAACTGAACAAATGCAATCAAGAGCAACCCAATACCATTAGAAGCTCAAGGGAAATGGCAGGTGTCTGTCCTGACATGACCCACTTTCGTACTGTGCCTCTTACTTTGAGCAGCTTCCCCACAACCTGGTGCCCTCCAATGTTGTTGGGCAACAGCTCCCATCGTTCCTGACCACTGGCCATGCTGGCTGAGGCTGGTGGGAGTTGGAGTCCAGCAACAACTGGAAGACACCAGGTTGGGGAAGTCTGTTCTAGTGGGACCAGATGGAAGATCACTGGGCACATGCAAGAACATGCCCCTCTCGACATTTTCTAGAATGGAGACAAAGATCACAGGTCCCCAAGTGCCGCAGGAGAGTTCCTAATTAAGTTTTCAAATCAATATAGGGCACAACAGGCACCCACAGTTCCACTCATACAGCAAAATAGCTTTAAATTATTATAGGAGAATTTTTTTCTACATTTTATATACAAAACACCAAAAGAGAGATACAAAATTAGTATAAACTGAAAAAAAGACAACACCAACTCTATTCCCGAGCCACACCACCCGTGGAAAGTTGTCAGGTTTTGCAGCAAAACACCTCTAGTCCCTGGGTCACTATCGGGAAATCGGAGTGGATTTGAGAGCTGAACTAGACCAAACATTCTTCGGATGCTATGCCCGGCCCATCCAGACCCCAACAATACTTATAAATTTAGACATTTCCTGGCAATTGACACCAGCCATCCCATCAAAACAGATGCAAGTGTTGCATTAAGTGAGAAAGCAGCCAAAATGAATCAAAGCCTTCAAATTGTGCTGGTGGTGTCAGTAGAGCTATGCTAATTTCAAAGTGTGATATATATATTCTCTATTGCATGTGTACACACAAACATTTCCAGATGCAAGGATTTTTAAGAAAACAAAATGTTCATTATAAAATTTGTAGGCATGCAATATGCCTTGCCTCCTTATTTAAACAAAACAGGGACGTTCATTTTTATTTGTAGGAGTCCATTTACTGAGAGTTTCATGGAAATCATATAGTGGAAGGGCTGCCAAACTGGCCCACGGACCATCAGTTGTCCACAAGCATCGTTCAGGTGGTCCACGACAAGTCTGTGGATTTGTGGCTGAAGGCAGGAGATGGCACATCAACTATCACATTAATTCGCACTGGTTTTTCGTTGTATTTTACCACTTGTCTCTTAATTTATTATACTTGGGAAGCTATGACATTCAAATTGTAATGCAGTAAGATACAAAATATAAGAAGCAATAGAAATAAAATTAAAAACCATACAGCATTTGGCACAGTGTACTGCAATTGCTACAGAAGAAAGTGGTCCAGCAAGACCCTTAGCAATTCTCATGTGTGATTTGGGGGGGGGGGGGATGATAGCAGTTACATATACTTAAACACCCAGTCTGACTACCACTAACTTTTCAATAGTCTACTCTGAAGATTCTCAATTACCAGACAGGAAGGTTGGTGGGGAAAGTAGAGTCATAAGGACTCTGGGAAAGAGGGTGCCTTACCGGAAGCAAACCCTAGTAAAGGTAACGAGACCCCTGACCATTAGGTCCAGTCGTGGCCGACTCTGGGGTTGCGGCGCTGATCTCGCTTTATTGGCTGAGGGGCCCATACAGCTTCCGGGTCATGTGGCCAGCATGACTAAGCCGCTTCTGGCGAACCAGAGCAGCACACGGAAACGCTGTTTACCTTCCCGCCAGAGTGGTACCTATTTATCTACTTGCACTTTGACGTGATTTCGAACTGCTAGGTTGGCAGGAGCAAGGACTGAGCAACGGGAGCTGAACCCCGTCGCGGGGATTCGAACCGCCGACCTTCTGATCAGCAAGTCCTAGGCTCTGTGGTTTAACCCACAGCGCCACCCGCGTCCCTTAAGCAAACCTTACAAGACCCCTAAACAGGACCAAGAAAGAGCTCCTGCCCTACAAGTTTATGCCTAGATGACAAGTCCAATTACCTCCTTGCACCATCTTTTTCCAAGCTGCACAAAGCCTGCCCTCCCATTTAAAGCAGCTGGCCTCTTCTGAGTTCAAATGAGCGCAAATGAATAAGTCAGGCAAGAGGGCAGGGGCAAAGCAAAGCCAGAGACTGCTGCTAAGATTATCTTTTATCACGTAGCAATTAGAAGTGTGGGGGAACATACAGCAAGTTCCAAAGAGCCAAGTTCAGTTGGTTTGGGAAAGAGCGCTATAATCCCAAACCTTCATCACTATGGGCGCAGAATCAATTGGGGCAGAATTCAGTTCACCACAAGAGGGAGCTCTCTCAGTCATACCCCTCCACCCGCTTCTCCTTGCACTGAAACTGCAGCAAAAGACATTAATGAATTCTTCACCAGGCAATGGCGTTTCCATCTGCCCTGCCCCACACTCCAGCCCTGGAAGCCTTTCCCAGACCATGAGTTTGAGAACAGCAGCAGCAGCAGCTGAGGAGAGCAATTCAGGTCTATTTAAAAAAAAAAAGTTTTATAAGCTGTGTGTCCTTGTCACTCAATTTTACCCTTTTACATGGTTTTGTATGTTTTATGGCATTTTATGCATAGCAATTTGCTGTTATTTTTATTGATTATAGATTGGCAATTCTCTATTGTGGTTGATAACTGTAAACTGATTATTATGTGCTGATGTTTAACTTTATGGTTTTACTATTAGATTCTGGTGGGTTGTTGAATGTTGCTTTGTTTGATATCAGCTGTTTAAAGTTATTGTGACTTTTTATACTGGATTAGATTGTTAACATTAATGTTTGGCGTTTTTATATGTGTTGGAATCCACCCAGAGTGGCTGAGGCAACCCAGCCAGATGGGCAGGGTATAAATAAACAAAAATTAAAATGAAAGTATTATTATTAATGAATTCAAAGCCATACTATGGTTTGGGTGCCTAATTCCAAACCCAGCCACGGTGAAATCTTAGGTGCGCCTTCTATTCAGATGCATGTCCCACTGGCTTCAACACTGGAATTCAATCTCAGGAGTGTGTAGGATTGCAACCTAAGACTTGTGCAGATGATTCTTTTCTCAAAGATATGGGTCATGTACAAATGCAGTGGTGAAAGACAAGTGAACCTTTAAACTATCTCTGTCTCTTGTTTCAAACAAGTAAACAAACAAACAAAAAAAAGACTTCTGGGACAAAAGCATTACTTCACTGCAACAGCAATGCAATGTAACAAGCAAATGGAGCAGTCCTAGTCGCCGCTGCAACACAAAAATAGCAGAAGTCCACAAGGATCTTAAACGCTGTCAAAAATTCACACGACAAAGAGGCATTCACCTGGGCCCTAAAAATTGTTATGACTGTGCCATGCAAACATGCCTAGGGAAAGAGTTCTGAACATGGTACCCCTTCTGTTCTGCTCCCCCCCCCCACATGCTTTTTTCTCTGGCAGCTACACCTCAGAGAAAGAACGCAATGTAGTTCCTCCAGCACCACCTCCCCCCCCCTCTCTCACACACATTTGTAATTACTATGAGTAAGTTCCATGATTTTTCTGCTTGGTATGACAAGGCAAGCGGCAGGCTAGTTGAGAAGGACAGCCACCTATTTAACTGAACAGTGGTGTTGGCGTGGGAGGTCGTGTACGCAAGTGAAATGGCAGGGGAAAGGGAGCTTCTTTACACCTTGACGCAAGCCGTATCCCTGAAGTCTCTGACCAAGAGGCTGTACAGAACCCAAGCAACTCCCATAATTCCTTGGGGCAATTCCCCACTACATCCAGGAACAGACCCAGATGTACATCTGACAGGGAAGCGAGCCAGTCCTGCGTGACACACAAGTCTTTTCAAAACACTTGCTTGTCTCGTTCATGCTTCAGAAGTCTTAAAGGCTATGCTTAATGGTGCGGCGTGCAAAGCAGTCCTGGCAGAAACTGCTACAGTGTCATGAACCACCAGCTGACCCTTTTCCAACTCAGTTTCACTGAAGAAATGCAAAGGGAGGAAGAAAAAACATTATGAGGAGGCCTTTACTTACAGAGTTTTCTGTCTCTAGGTCTGTTGGGCCAGTCAATACTGTACGATCTGTACATCTGACAGGGCTTGTCACCAACTTAAAGGAATCCAATGAGAATTAAATGTGCCCACATGAGCAAAGGGATAAAAATAGTTATTTTTATGCTTTTAGATGAAGCAGCAAGCACCATCCTTAATTAATCAAAGAGGCACCTCCTTGTGTGTTCGAGAAAACGGTGAACAACTTTCCTAAAATGGTGTGTGTGGCTTTTTAAAAATAAATAAATACACTTACATTTGCCTAGTTAATCAGGGAACCTTGTTACTTGATCAAAAGTTTTAAAAATAGATTAATCTGCCTGATTAAAAATATTACAAACCCAGTACTTGAGAGGCAGGGAGAGTGGGGAGGAAAGGAGACAGAAGATATGGAACAAGTGTGAATCTGAATGCTCACTTTTCCTTAAACGGCACCATTTGAATCCAACCCTGCAGTACAACTGGGGGGAAGCATTCCCAGCCAATGACCATCCAGCGTGTTTTAAAACCTCAAGCAAGGATGAGCCCTGCCTCCTGACTTCTAAGAAGTTTCGATTTTTAGCTGCTCTTACCACCAGCAAGTTTCTCCTAATATTCAAGCCAAATTTACACCCTTGTAAGTTAGGTAAAGGTAAAGGGGACCCCTGACCATTAGGTCCAGTCGTGACCGACTCTGGGGTTGTGGCGCTCATCTCGCTTTTCTGGCCGAGGGAGCCGGCGTACAGCTTCCAGGTCATGTGGCCAGCATGACTAAGCCGTTTCTGGCGAACCAGAGCAGCGCACGGAAATGCCGTTTACCTTCCTGCCAGAGCGGTACCTATTTATCTACTTGCACTTTGACGTGCTTTCGAACTGCTAGGTTGGCAGGAGCAGGGACCGAGCAACAGGAACTCACCCCGTCACGGGGATTCGAACCGCCGACCTTCCAATTGGCAAGCCCAAGGCTCTGTGGTTTAACCCACAGCGCCACCCGCATCCCATCCCTTGTAAGTTAAGCAACATTAAATGTAGCCTTGAATGAGTCTTTCTTCTATTTGTAAGAGCCATTCAAGTATTTTGAAGAGTGCTATGACATCTCTCCTCAAGGCTTCTCTCCTTCAATCTTTCTGCACAGGATTGCTTTCCCACCAGCCATCTTCACTGCCCCCTTTGAAGTAATTCCAGTTTTTCTCCAAGTTTGGTGCCCAGAACTGGATGCAGCAGTCCAGATAAGATTTGACGAGCGCACAGTCAAATTGAACTATTACCTCTCATCGCAGGGGTAGGGAAGCTTTCGGCTTTCTCTCTCCCTCCCTTCCCCCTTGGGCAAACTTTGACAAGAGGGCAGAACCACTCACCAGTCAATCATCTGACATCATACTGACATCAGGGGATAGGTGTGGTGTGAGAGTGGTACCATCCATCTGTCAGTGTTGGCCCACAGGAGTGGGATAATGGCAAACAGCAACCAAGTAGGATTCAACTCCTCACACACTGGCTCATTTGCAGGGAGTTCAATCCTGCTTCTTGCAGCATTTGGGTACTTGGGGAAACCTCTTGCATGTGCAAACTGAGGAGGATTGAATGAATTTTATTATTACGGTTACAGACCAGTTCCGGCTTACTCAGAATATCAGGAAAATCATAAAACACAACAGGAATACGTTGAATTGCAATTGGGTATAACAGAGACGATAAAGATATAGCAGCAGTTAAAAATATATATATTAAATCTTGATCACTAAAATATAACCTAAAATTGTCATTTAAGACCTTAAGGACTGAATTCCCCCCACACAAAAAATGGCAGTTTACCATTCTATCAAGGCCATTTTGAATTTTATTTTGGTTTTCTGACGTCCACCTCTCAACGTTAGCTGTTCGCATCCTTCTGTAATGGAAGATAACGGGGGGCGCCTCCAGGGAGGAAGGTAAACCGCTGGAGAATCCGAGAGCCTGCTGTGGATGCAAAGACCGGGAACTTGTAACTGCTGCCTCCCACATTGCTTTTGTTGTGTTAGCAGCCCCAAAGTACCCTTCCCCAGGGCACAAGCCTGGCCAGAGTTTATGGAGGTCCTGGGCTGCCCAGACAACAAGGAAACAGGCAGCAACCTTTTTACATGCATCTGAATGACACATGGTCATCACTGTGGACCTGGAAGCGGCCCAAAAATGGGGCAGAAAGGGGTGGGGACTTACGCACAGTCCGCCAATGCATGGGATGATCTCAAACGCAACCCCTGCACAAATGGCGAGCTGCCTAGAGATTTGCTCAACTATTATGGCGCAAAAGGCCTGTCTTGCAAGAAAAACCTACATGGCGCTGTGCAAGCTTGCCCTTACTCCCCTCTCGATTCCACCCACCCATCGATGGTACAGCCTGGTTTGTAGTGGACTATTCTTGTTCATATCCCACCACTCACCACAGTAATAACTAGCTGCATCACTTGGTTTGTCAACAGATTCTATGGCAGAGGACCACATGGGTTTGGGGGGGGGTTACCTGGTGCTCTGGTTGTGGGCTGCCAGTGCCTGCAACATTCAGGATACCAACCACTGCTAATCCAGGCACACTGGAAGGATCAGCACAACCAACGCAGGCATTGCTGTGCCCAAATTTCTCAACAGAAAGCACCTCTTCTTTGAGTTTGTTGCTTCCATCTTACGCCAGATGTGCTTTCAAAGTGCTAAAGCAGATTAAGACATAGTGGCTTGCAGTGCCAGGAGGCAAGCACAAAATATCTTTCTGGCACTTGGACTAACAACAGCACATGGCCTGCCCAATCTAACACCTACAAGCCATCTATCGCAGCCCAATTGCTCTTTGATGATCCTTGGGGTCCCTTCCAAGACTACAATTCATGAATTGCATGACGCCCAGGGAGTCATTTTGGACAGAACAGCAAATATCCACATGTGATGACAATGTATGAAACAGCAACTGAAATGACAACATGGGAAATGAGGTAAAGGTAAAGGGACCCCTGACCATTAGGTGACCGACTCTAGGGTTTCGGCGCTCATCTCGCTTTATTGGCTGAGAGAGCCGGCATACAGCTTCCAGGTCATGTGGCCAGCAGGACTAAGCCGCTTCTGGCGAACCAGAGCAGCGCATGGAAAAGCCGTTTACCTTCCCGCCAGAGCGGTACCTATTTATCTACTTGCACTTTGATGTGCTTTCGAACTGCTAGGTTGGCAGGAGCAGGGACCGAGCAACGGGAGCTCACCCCGTCGCGGGGATTTGAAGCGCCGACCTTTTGATCAGCAAGTCCTAGGCTCTGTGGTTTAACCCCACAGTGCCACCCGTGTCGGTACGGCTAAAAACAGAAAGAAAACAAAGCAGGAACATATCCAGTGTGCAATGTACAGTAATTTGGATAGTACTATTCCAGTTTTACGTCTATGAAGAAATCTCAGCAACTCCACAATATGTACATGTAGATCTACCAGCAACATGCAAATGACACGATTACATCTTTCTGATTTGGACTTCACTGTGGATTCAGTTTCATATCCAGGCCAGGTCTGAGCACTAAGGCAGCACAGGCTGTCAATACATCTTGTACTTGATACATTAACAGCCCACCTTGGGTGGAAGACTGACAGCTGTGAGGCTAAGCCTCACCATTGCTACAGGGTAAAGGTAAAATGTAAACGACAGGCAGCTACCTGCAAAAATCCCAAGTGTTGGGGAAAGTGCATTAGGTGCTAAAACTGCTGTCTACCCAGGAAGTCAGAAGTGTTCTCTTCCCAAGCAATCCCAAGCTCCCATTCTCAGCACAGGCAGGAAACCACCCAGCTAGAATCTTTGTCGTCAGTGTGGGCCTGTGGTGGAGGGAGATCACAGTTCAAAGTACCATAATATGGCCTGGCGTGTGGAAATCAGAAGCACTACAAACCGCACGCCTTGCCACCTGAACGTTCAGAGCTCTTAGAACGTGCAAGTTATGGATTAGTTTGTTTTGCTGCCTAGAGCAGCTCAACAGTTGTGCATTTAGGGATGGCGTGGGGTAGAGGAAGTTCACACATGTAAAAAAATTAAGTGTGGAGTGGAGAAGGCAGAAGGGAAAGAGTAAAAAGAGAGATTGGAAAGTGGTGGGCTTGAGAAGAGACAAATCCTTCAGTAATGGAATACTTCCAGGAGGAGGAAGAACAAACCAAACCTGATAAAGACAAGAAGTTTGCAGCAAGGCGATCCACAATAAACACTCAACACACCCAGCTTTGCAATGCATGTTGACTCTGCAGCCCTTACAATGCAATGCAAGGGATCTGCAACACCTTACGGAAAGCCTTTTGTTTTGAGGAAAGGCGATGCCAAGAAGGACCTGCCCTTTCAAATTCCTCCCTGGCCGCCATTCCATCACTCCTCAGCTTGTGCCACAGGTCTCCCATTGTGTCCGCCTGAAAGTCTTGCGCTCTCGCCCATCCCCTCCTAGCGCAGCCGCCCCTCCCTGATGATTTAATGGGCAAATCTTCGCGGGAAGCTCACCGCAGGGTTCTTCTAAACTTGCAGGATGTGCCGAGCTGCACGGGAGCGCTCAAGCGTGCAGCAGTTCGGGCCAGACATGCTCCTCAGCGATTACCGCCATCCATATTTAATTACTTTTCCCTCCCTTTGTTTGTTAATTTTTAACTAGAGTGCGCCGGCTCTCAGGGGCCATTAGGAGTCCCAGGCAGCAAGGTTCAGCGAGCAGAAAAAGTCCTTGTGACAGAACATACATTACTTGGCATTCTTGCCTCCCACTTTGCCAGAGAGGTGTGGAGCTTGGGGGGGTTATTTTCAGTTGTGCGCTCGCAGTCCGCCCCACTGCAGGTCGTGAATAAAAGATAGTGTTCCATTTGAAGCTTATTTCCCCTTTCCCTCCATGTCAGAAACTGTTTTCCTCAAGCTCTGGTTACGTTCTCATTTATTCTTTCCCCAAGTTTTCAGGCTGTAACTTTTATTCCCTTTTAAGAGGAGGAAGGCTGTGGCTTGGGCAAAGGTCTCATTTGCTCCAGAATGCCATCATACTCCCGTCTTCATGTTCAGTTTTGTGTATTACGTTAGCACAACCCGGCTGGAAAATTGCAGAGGACAATACACCCCATCCCCGCCTCCGAAAAGCTGGGGCCATCCCTGAAAATGAGGGATGCGAGACTTGCCCTGTGACTTCCAGCCCAGGCAGCTGACACAAGAACCTGACCTATCTAATGTGCCAGAAAATAATAAGATATCTGCTTCTTGGTGTGTATATTGCAGGTTCGGGACCTGCCCTTTTGTAGGATGAGCTGGTTTAGCTATAAACCGTGGGCCAAGGACCACTCAGAGAACCCTACTGGCCTCCTAGGTGGCTGCCTCTCCAGCAACGAAAGTGCCTCTCAAAAAATAAAAAGGGTGCTTGCTACTTTTAACCAAGAAGAGAGACTCAGGCTTCAGAGTGGGGAAATTTTTAGGAAAGGGACATTTTCAAGCATCTTGTCTTCCACTAGATTTTCAATTAAGGTAAGAAAATGTGGTGTTCTGTGACAGGGATGTCCAACAGGTCGATCGCGATCTACTGGTAAAAAAGGCTCAACAACTTTGACCTGAACCCCCCAAAAGGGGGTAGATCACTGCCAGGTTCTAATTCTGTGAGTAGATCGCAGTCTCTTGGGAGTTGACCACCCCTGTTCTAGGAGAAACAAGCAAAGCAGAATGATGGTGCCTAACTTCAAATAGGTTTGACTACTGCTGTAAGATTCTTTTTTTAACCACGCACACACAACTGGTTAGCAATAGCTTCATGTGCCTTCAAAGCTAAGCCCTTGCCTAAATGCCCTAGTTCAGGACTACTGTTCCAGAGAAAGCTTCAGAAAACCCCTGGTCCTCACATGCCATTGTAACTAAGCCCAAGGCTTCGCCATTGCAATAAGACACATTCTTCCCCTTGTTAAGTCCTGTCTCCACTTTCCCCCCCTTCCTCTGTGGTTTCCTCATGACAAATTACAGATTGTAAACTATCTGGGTAGGGACCTGCCCTTTTGCACTCGTGTAGGATGAACTGGTTTAGCCACAGACAATATTCATGGGAGACAAAAAAACTGCCAGAAGGCATTCCATTCGAAAGATTTAAAGTTGTATTATCTCCTTGTAATCTTTACAGGTAAGGCCAGAAATTATGCACATTGCAACATCAGTCAATCAATCATGGCATAAGCTAGCCTGGCCAAACCTTTATTCCTGTCTTTTAATAATGCACACTGCATACTTCTTTACAAGAGCGCTGAGCAGCTTGCACTGGCCTCCCAAGTCAGGTCACTTAAGTTTCAACAATGCTATATAGCACTGGGTGCATTCAGGCTGATTACCAGTGATGGACTTTAAGAAGAGATATGGCCTGGATTAAAGAAGCATCAGATGATATTATCATGCTTCACCATACAGAATGAGGTCAGGCTATCTTAACTATGGTCCATGGAGCCACAGAATTTACCAAGGTCCATGAATCCAGGCGGGACGCGGGTGGCGCTGTGGATAAAAGCCTCAGCGCCTAGGACTTGCCGATCGAAAGGTCGGCGGTTCGAATCCTCGCGGCGGGGTGCGCTCCCGTCGCTCGGTCTCAGCGCCTGCCAACCTAGCAGTTCAAAAGCACCCCCGGGTGCAAGTAGATAAATAGGGACCGCTTACTGGCGGGAAGGTAAACGGCGTTTCCGTGTGCTGCGCTGGCTCGCCAGATGCAGCTTGTCACGCTGGCCACGTGACCCGGAAGTGTCTGCGGACAGCGCTGGCTCCCGGCCTATAGAGTGAGATGAGCGCACAACCCTAGAGTCTGGCAAGACTGGCCCGTACAGGCAGGGGCACCTTTACCTTTTATGAATCCAGGCACTAAAGAAGATAAGAGGTCTCATCAAGCTGTAAACACTAGGACTTGATCATTATTCCTGAGGCTGGAATAAACACAACACCTAGCCTGGACTTGGAGGATGAGATATTTACTTGAGGTTTCCTAAAGTTCTCTGTTTTAGAACCGTATTTCATCTCTATGTAAAAACCTGCTCCCTGCCCACCCACCCCTCAAACCTAACCTAGTGGTTATGTTGTGTTCAGTCCTCACTAAACTGTCCTAACATCCTCCTATTAGAATTTAAAACTACAGTCGTACCTTGGTTGTTGACCGCCTTGCGACTCGAATGTCTTGGTTCCCAAATGCCGCAAACCCGGAAGTGAGTGTTCCGGTTTGCAAATGTTCTTTGCATCCGAAACGTTCGACGCTGCTTCTGCAGCTTCCAATTGAGTGCAGGAAGCCTTGGTTTGCGAACGTTTGCAGAACTTGAATGGACTTCCGGAACAAGAACCAAGGTGGTACTGAGTTACAGGCAGGAAAATGGATCTCCTTACCATCAAATGTTCAATTGACCCATATACCAACTCTAAAATATGTCTGATCCTTGTGTTAATGCATCATGTGTTACATTATCCCACAGTCAGGTAGGTAGCCGTGCTGGTCTGATGCAGTCAAAATAAATAAAAAAATTGTCCAGTAGCACGTTAGAGACCAACTAAGTTTGTTCTGGGTATAAGCTTTCGTGTGCATGCACACTTCTTCAGAATTTTCAGTTTACTTCTTAACATGTTTATTTCAGCATTTGCCAAAAGGGGGAGAGGGAGGTTATGAGCTGCGCCCCCAATAGCTGGAAAGCCATTCGCCAGGTGGGAATTTAACAAAGTGTACATAAGATCCCTCAAAAGAATGTTACAAAGACTAGCTTGCCAAGAGGCAAGGGGGTTTTCCTTCCTAGATTTCTGACTGGGTGAAACCATGCAATAAAATTCAAAGCTCTTGGCACAGAGATATATTTAAAAATGTATACTCTGCTTAATCAGCCCTGTCGGCCTCTTGAAGTGGCAATGAAATCACCACTTCAGTGAACACAGAACACCCCATAGCAACAACAGAGCCTGAAACCAACCAAGCAGAACTGCAAAGGAACAAAAGCAACTTCTTCCTCCAACTCCAGAGAACCAAAAAGGGCCACCCAAACAGGAAGAGCTTAACATGTTTCCTAAAAGCTGGGAAAGGGCAGTGTCAGCCGCACAGGCCTCCCGAGGCAGACTCTAAATCTCACTGCCATCGCCCACGCCTCCACTAACTAGGTTCACAAAGCAGTATCTCAGTTGTACATCTCTATGTTTCCCCATCATGTCTTAAGATATGCAGGCTGTGCAAACCTCTGAATATCCAGGCTCTTTAAGGCTTTGGAAGGTCAGTACCGGCACTCTGAAATGGGCCACATACCGAGAACCAATGCAGCTCTTTAATGGGTGTAATGATCTCCACTCCTGGACAAGAGCCTATTTTCTGCAGCTGTAACTTTCAGACATTTATCAAAAGAGCATAGAGCACACTGCAATATCCAAGCCTGCAAGAACGCCCCATGACTTATTTCTTTAGCCACTAGAAAAGAGAACAGCTAGCCAACATGGAGCTGGGAAAAAGGCACTCCTTGCTGCCAATGACCCCTGAGTATCAAGTAACAAAAGCAGAATCAAAGGGAATAAGCTATAAACCCGTTTTTCCTGCCGGAGTGTGACCCGCATCGAAAAACAGCCTGAACGCTCCTTCCCAGCTCAACAGGCCTATTGTCAGCATCTCGTATTATCTGGGTTAAGTGCTGGTTCATTAGATCTTCTGTAGGCCAACATCATGTCCAAGCAACAATTCAGGATTTTCTCTGACTCGCTGGGAACGGAGAACAATTCAGGCAACTTTGATTACAAGCGGTCATATGCACATCGCAGTTAAGTTTTCACTCGGTAACTTCATTTTGCTACAGTTCAGAACGTGTATGAAGTACCGTATTTTTTGCTCTATAAGACTCACTTTTTCCCTCCTAAAAAGTAAGGGGAAATGTGTGTGCGTCTTATGGAGCAAATGCAGGCTGCACAGCTATCCCAGAAGCCAGAACAGCAAGAGGGATTGCTGCTTTCACTGCACAGCAATCCCTCTTGATGTTCTGGCTTCTGAGATTCAGAATGTTTTTCTTGTTTTCCTCCTCCAAAAACTAGGTGCGTCTTGTGGTCTGGTGCGTCTTATAGAGCAAAAAATACGGCAACTGCTCACAATGCAAATTCCCCCAAGTGACTTAAGAGGCCAGACTTTTGCTCCGTCTACCTCCCTTCTCTCTGGCTTTAGAAACACACGTGTACATAAACACGCTCTTGCACACCTTCCCCTTATCCGTTGTAAAGACAATTTAGCCTTGGAACTTTGAAGCAAAACTGTGGCAAAGGCAAGCCGGGAAGCAGAGTCCATATATACAAGGGGGTATATATGTGTGCAAAGACCCGGCAGGTATTTCTCGCTGCCTCGTGTGAACGGAAGTGAAATTACTCGAGGAGAGAAAGGTGTTCACGGTTCTATCAGGCAGTGGGGTGCTGTCAATTTTTCCTAAGTCCGTTCCCCAGTAGTCCCAAGGAGAATGCGTCAGCTTGATCGAGATGTGATCATTAATACCTCTCTGGGGTGCCTGTTAGCCAGACAGGTGTTAGTCGTTCGGGGTGCACTGGAGAGGATCAGGTGGTATAACGTGGGTGAAGGTGTGACTGATTGGTATAAATTACCTGGGCATGCAGTGAAGCAGGGTAGGTGAAAGCAGGCGGGGGTAGAGCAGGTGCTAACTCCGCTGGGTAGAGAGGGTACGGCGCCCACACTTCAGGGCTACTGGGGTAAAGTGCAGGCACTGTGAGCTCATCTGCAAGAGAAGAATAAGGAGAGTTCATGGTTATAAAAACAGCAAATGCAGGAAACAAAACGGCAAACACAAGAGTGGAGCTCAAGGAGGTCCCTCCAACTCCCTCTGCCTTCTCCTTAGGAAACGGAATCCGAAGAGCAGGTACAAAAATTCTGCTCTGAGTTAGGGCGCCAAAGTCTGCAACTTACGTTAAGGAACAGGGTTATTGTCCAAAACTGGGTGTTTTGTCGGCTGGAGAAAGAAACGCAAAGCAGTCTACAGGTGTTGTTAAGAGACGGCAAGTGAGCCACTCAAAAGTATTCTGATGAAAGAATACAGATTCTGGGCGAATGAACTCTTATGGCTGTGGCACTTTGCATCCTGATCTAGATACACATCATAGTAAGCCATAGTTAACTGTTTGCCGTGGATGCCCTAGTGGCTCCCGCTTCGCTCTTCCCCTGGTGTGAGCATAGGCAACAAACCACAGTACCCTGTTACATCTAAACCAGGGACCATAGCTTGCTTCAAACCACAATGTGAAGCCAAGGTTGTTCTTGGCCTGCCAATCATAGTCAAGATTTGAACTAAGGACTTCCTAACTCAGAGATTAGTCTCAGCTACCCCACTACATTTGTCTCCCCAATGAAAAACAATCCAGTCATCTTAAGAATGGGAGGGAGAGGGGGCATACAGAATGCCATTCTGCACAGATCAAAATAAAGAGTCTATATGATAATGAAGGTTATCTTCTACCCTTTCACAGCAGTACAACATTATCAGTGGTTCAGGTACCTTATTTAAGTTACAATACCAGCGTATTCCATCTCTTTCCTTTGCCACCACTCATGAAGGCCTCCTACCCAGTGCTTCCCCCTACCTCCACTAGTCACCCGTCCCTGAAGAGTTTAGACGAATCCAGGGCAGCCAGGATAACTACTCATAATTTCAGCTCCATCCTTGCTTTGCAAAAAGAAAGGTGCAATTATCCATTGCCGTTTCCTGTGCCTTTTCCAGATCACCTTTTGAGATAGGTCACCTGAAAAGTACACACTTCAAATGCAATCCTACCAAAATGCCAATTATCATACAGGCAGTTTTTTATTTTCAGTCTTTTCCCTAACAATGCCTTGCACCGAACTTGAATTTTTCATAAGCACCACCATGCCAGAGCTGAAATATCCATCGAGCCAGCTTAGACTTCACCATTCTGTATATGACACATCCAAGAACCAAACGTTTCCATAACAGCAGAATCCGCATGCCATGCTCGGCTGCATGAGTGCAGCTCCCTGTCTTCTCTGAGAGCTTGTGAACAAGCTACCACTTTTCTTAATCTAGTGGGTAGTGATGAAAGATGCATCTCAATCTTAATTGGCTTCATTTCAAAACGATTTATGTGTGTTTCCTCCATGAGAGGTCTGGAGGGCGGCAACACGAAGAAGGGCCTTTTCTGCAGTGGCTCCCCGTTTGTGGAATGCTCTCCCCAGGGAAGCTCGCCTGGCGCCTTCATTATACACCTTTAGGCACCAGGCAAATACATTTCTCTTCTCCCAGGCCTTTGTCTAATTACAAAACAATCTATGGCCTGGGGTGTGTGCGTGTTATTGTTTCCATTTGTTATTGTGGTATGTGTTTTTGTGTTTTTATATTGTAAACCGCCTTGTGATCTTTGGATGACAGGTGGCATGGAAATTTAATAAATAATAATTATTATTATTTCTGAGGTTAGAAGTGGCTTGATCCATTTCTTCCAAAACAGTTGGACTGCGTCTTCGTTACAAGCCCAGCATCAACTCAACCTCTCTCTTTTTTGCCCCTCTCCAACCACCAAACAAAGCCCCCTAAAACCAACTGCTGGTGCCACACCAGTCAGAGAGAAGTGGGTGGCTTATTGTCCCCTCACTCCCACTCAGGGGCAGAAGAAGAGGATGTGATCCTCTGCTAGGACTGCTCCCCTCCCCAGCTGTTTTGACAGCAGCAACCCGAGGGTAGAGTTGGCAACTATCAACCTATTACCGTGTTTTTCGCTCCATAAGATGCACTTTTTCCTCTTAAAAGCTAAGGGGAAATGTCTGTGCATCTTATGGAGCGAATGTGTGGTCCCTGGGACTGGGGGGGGGGGGGACACCCGGGCTTCCCTCGCCAGCCCCGACAAGCTCTGGGAGCAGCGGGAAGGCTGCGCGCAGCCTTTCCGCTGCTCCCCGACCTGCTCTTTGGGGCTGGCGGTGGCTTTCCCCAAAGAGCAGGTCAGGGAGCAGCAGAAAGGCAGCAGAAGCCGCGCTTCCCCCACCGCCAGCGCCGGGGATCAGCGGGAAGGCTGTGTGCATCCTTCCCGCTGCTCCCTGAACTGCTCTTTGGGTCGAGCAGCTCTGAGGTAGCCCGCGAAGCCTCCGCAGGGCAGCAGGGAGCCTTCATCCCACTGCCCTGGGGAGGCTTCGCGTGGCTATTCCTGGCTTTTGTGGGAGGTGGGGGAAGGGACAGAGCGAGGCTCTGTCCCTTCCCCCACCTCCCGCAAAGGCCCCCAAGAGCCGCATATTTTTTCCCCTTGAATTCTCTCTCCCCCCCCCAAAAAAAAGTAGGTGTGCCTTATGGAGCGAAAAATACAGTACTTCTCCTCCTATCACGATTTGCTTTGCCCAAGTGCCCCTGAGCTTCCTTCCAGGTATGAGAGGAGGTGGGCAATGCATCAGGGAAGGTTGGAATCTCACTGAAGGCGTCTTGAGCCATCCGCACTACCCTCAGCTTTAAAGAAATCCTCTTCTTCCACCCGCAAGACGCCATGGCAGAGAACATCCAAGCAAAGCCCCAGTGGGAGTTGACAGGGATGCACTTTAATTACAGCAGAGATTAAGTGTTTGTCCTGTTGGTTTTAAAAGCAAGATAAACAGTGAAAAGTTGGCAAGGGCTAATGCTAACAACGTTCCCTTCCGCCATTCATTCCTAAGCTTTGTGGTCATTCTCGAGCAGAGAGCAACAAGCCTATAAATACACGCAAGCGCTCCCGAACCTTCCCCAAAATATGTGAGCCAGGAGGAGTTTAGCAAGAATGCAGCACTAAGGGACGCTGCCATGTAACCCGGGCCCCTCTTTTCGGAAGCTGCTCTGCTGGAACTTGCAGAAAGGGCACTTGCAGCCACACATACCCTTCAGCTCCCTTTGCGCCTCTGGCATTTCATCCTCTCCCTGTTCTCTTCTCTCTGTTGGCATTTTGGTTGCAAGCTCCTTGGGGTCAGGGACTATGAAGTGTCACGTGTTCAGATGGAATGCTATCATGGTTGGGAGTCCCAGGGGCCATTTCCCAACATGTGAAATGTACAATGGGAAACAAAGGGCCGAGCCAGGCAAAACAACAAAAAGTCGCATTGGCTCAGCTACAAAACTACCCTTCTATGAGCAATATGACACATCCGGTGTAACAATGTCACACCACATGAATACTCTGGGAGACTGACAACTATTTCAAAGAGAGCTGAAGACAATCGTTATTCGTAGTGGTGTCTACACGTGTGTTTTTGTTGTTTTCTTCATCCTACCACTGTCTCCAGTAAGACTGATTTTTGCAGGTTCTTCAAGTATTAAAATGTACTGCAAACCTCTGTTGAACCAGGAACAATACTGGAGCCAAAAATGAACAAGCCTCCAAGCATACACAACATGAGCCAAAGTGTTACAGTTATGACCATTTGCTCAGTCTTTGAGATACAGTGGTACCTCGGGTTAAGTACTTAATTCGTTCCGGAGGTCCGTTCTTAACCTGAAACTGTTCTTAACCTGAAGCACCACTTTAGCTAATGGGGCCTCCTGCTGCTGCCGCGCCGCTGCTGCGTGATTTCTGCTTTCATCCTGAAGCAAAGTTCTTAACCCGAGGTACTATTTCTGGGTTAGGGGTGTCTGTAACCTGAAGCGTATATGTAACCTGAGGTACCACTGTATACAGGAGTGATCTGCATATCACATCAAACCATAGCCTAAAACAAACCAAAGTTTAATGCATGGGTAGGCAAACTAAGGCCCGGGCCTGGATTCGGCCCAATCACTTTCTAAATCCGGCCCGCGGACAATTCGGGAATCAGCGTGTTTTTATGTGAGTAGAATGTGTCCTTTTATTTAAAATGCAGCTCTGGGTTATTTGTGGGGCATAGGAATTCGGTCATTATTATTTTTTCAAAATATAGTCCGGCCCCCCACAAGGTCTGAGGGCCAGTGGACCGGCCCTCTGCTGAAAAAGTCTGCTGACCCCTGTAATCAAGCAGCTTCCCGGTGCACGCTCCACACAGTGCACGAAACAAGCCCGTCTGGAAGACATGTTGTCCAAGCCTGGGCTCATAGTTTACTTCCTTGAAATATACCACAAGCAGTAACCAGTTTGCTTTGGGTCGTTCACATAATGCTCACTCACATTAAACCACATTAAACTACAGTTTAATGTAACATATGAACTGGACCAGTCTTTTCCAAAATTGGGAATCCCAAATGTGTTCCGTTTCCTATGCTTATTCAAGCTACTTTTTCACGATTCTAGTATAGAGAAAATAAAATACAAAATTATGTTACACATTTATGTTGCTTTTCTCTCTCAGGCAGTTTTACCTTGCGCTCTCGAAAATGAGGTCTGTCACGTAGTCGTGACAGTCGTATTCCAGCAAAGAGCAAGCCAAGGCACAAATGGGATGACACACGTGATACGCACCGTGAGTTTATCTAATAGCAAATTTGGCAACCCCTACCTAGCTGAGCAGCAGCAAATCAGGGCCACCTCAGATGTTTCTGAATAGATGGAGTGCTCCCAAGATATTCAGGAAATGACACATGTGTAAATAAGGAGAAACAGCAGAATAGCCCAAACCTTTTGACGCAACATGGCTCAATGGGAACAACAGTATTCCATTCTCCTGGGGCCATTTTGTGGAAAACGGGAATGACACTGGCCTGCACTGAGTGCAACTCTGTTGCCGGTTGAAGTGGAAAAGTAGAAATAATAGGTTTCAGACAGAAAAGTTGCTTTGTATTTTGTTTTTTTTTGCACTTATTACTTTCACTAAATTCTCATTTGACATTTGGTTACCCATTCGCCTAATTTTAAGACACACTCAGGCTTTGCCAGATGTTCAATAATTTGGTGTCCATCTGCCAACTTCACTGCTGCCCCAACTCCAGATCGTTCATGAACAAGTTAAATAGTGCCAGTTCACATGCTTGGCAGGGATCTCACTGCTTATCCCCCCCCCACACACACACACTAAGACAACTGTACATAAAATTCTGCCCTCTGCTTCCTATTATCAGTGACTTTGCTCTCTTATTCCATGACTGCCAGATGTCTTCAGGAGCCCATGGCAAGGCACTTTTATCAAAAGCGTTTTGGAAGTTCAAATACGTTCCACCTTCCAGATATCCCTATGGAGTCCTGATTTACAGCCTTCGGGTCTGGCTAGGGGGAAAGCAACTTGGGAGAAGGGGAGAGGGAGCATTCTTTGGGGAGAAGGGGCTCAAAACTCACACACCTGCACACCCCTTTTGCTTTGCTTGAAATTTCCCCTGTCTTCCACTTTATATCTGCTTGGTGCAACCAATGTTCTAAGACAGAGACTGTTGCCACAGCACCCTCAAAAATGCTCCCTAAATATTGTAGATAAACTTGCCAAAAATTCAGAGAAGTGCGGGGCCAGCACAGTCATTAGGCAGGGTGAGGCCGCTGCCTCGGGCGGCGGAAGTCCCCAAGAGTACCCTGCCTGCCCTGCTGCCAGAATTGGCACCAATTTTGGGCAAGATCTCACTCAAAGTTGATTCCAATACCAGAGGTGGGCAGCACAGGCACTTCCTGTTTCACCACAAGTGAAAACTGCAAAATCCAAAGAACTACTACGCTCCAATCCACACATTAGTCCAGGAGGTGGAGATCAGGACAGGTCATATAGGAATTTGCAAACAAATCGAGCATTCCTATCTAAGGCACATACCACTGCTTGCTCTTTTATGGTGAAGCACAGACACACACACACTCACATACTTACATGGCTCCCTGGTAATGAACTGAGGTAAAGTGTTGGGGGTGGCAGGAGTGCTTGGATTTGGTGTCCCCACTAATTTGCTCTTGGCCATCTTCGTGTTGGCCTTGGCGAACTCTAGCCGGAGCGTCTGGGGAATTTCTGGGTCAAAGCGGATTCCCTTTTTGCGGAAAGAGACAGAACGAGAGTTAGTTGTTCCTGCAGCGATATCACGGTTGCACTGAAAGTAACGGACAACACTTAACTGTAATAGAGAAACCTTTTGTAATAGATAAAAGACATAATGCGGGGGGAAAGGTGTGAGTAAAAACAATGTAGAGTGGAGGGAAGTAAGTCAGCTTATGAAACAATGTAATTTCCGTATTTTTCCATCTATAAGATGCCCCCATGTATAAGATGCCCCCTATTTTTGGGGCCTCCAATTTAAGAAAATGGGGAGAGATGGCCCCCATGTATAAGATGCCCCCAAATTTTGGACATTATTTTTTAGGGGGGAAACCTAGTCTTATACACGGAAAAATACGGTATTTGATTTGAAGGTTATTGTGAAAATGTTTGAATAAAACATTGTATGCAATTTTTTTTTGGAAAAGTAACGGACAAGACTGCATACGGCATGAGAATACAATAGAAGCAGCATCATACAAAGCAAATAAATCCAGAAAGAGGAGCGTGGCATCAGGTCTGAAATCAGCACCAGGCATGACATAGCAGGGCCCAGAAGTATTCCGGGAAAGTGGAAGCGGTGGGCAGCTTCAGCCAGCACGTCACTTCACAGTCTGCCCTAGTAAAAGAAGCTTTTTATATAAAAAAAAGAACAAAATGTTCCTGGCCCACCACCTGATAAGTTTTACTGGGGTGTGTGTGTACCAGGGCACTTTGCCCAGGGCACCCTCAAACATGGTGCCAAGTCTGCATAACATCCTCCTGAGAAATGCAAACCCAAAGCCACTGCCTTAAATAGGCATACGACAGAATGGGGTGGGATGATGCATTCAAAAGGCTACGGGAGAGAAAATGATTCGGTTAAGAAGTAGCATTTCTTCAGTTTAACCCGCCACAATTTCAAGGAGGATTGTGACAAACTGATTCACGAGAAATTTACAGGCGTAGATGGCCTAGGAAACAAATCCATTACTAAAAGGCTGAAGAAATTAAGACGTGTTAGCCTATCAGAGATCAAGACCAACTTTTCTCCCTGTCTAAAAGGGTATACAATTGCAAAGAGACATTTTATGTTACCCATCAGGAAAATATATAAAGATCCATAATGAAGGTGTACAATATTTTCCTTTGGAGACTTTCAATAAAATATTGGGGAAAGACACTTCTGGTCTTTTGAGGAAGTAGGTTTCAACAGGATAATGTTAATGATAATATTTACACCCCATTCATCTGGCTGAGTTTCTCCAGCCACTCTGAGCGGGGGATAACAACAATAATTCAATAATAATTTCATAAGTCTGTCCAATATCCTATAAGCATTGCTACCCTATACAGGCAACTCCAAACATTCTGAATGTTTATTAAAACTGGAGATGAACTAATTGTTTGTTTAGTGCATTGACAAAAAAAACCTAAGTGCACCTCCATATGGTGTGCTGTCCAGGATAGAATCAGAGCTGCAAGCTGTTCTCTGTATGACTGCCCCAAACATAAGACTCAGAAGGAAATGACACACCCTATGCTTTCCAAATTTTATTTTTGTTGGTCTTAGAAACAGGACACTACTGTTTGAACCTAATTTTTCTATGCATCACTACAACATTGCCAACAGAACGCTGCAACTTGACGTGGGTGGATAAGACTGATGTCATGAATTCAATTAACAACAAGAGAAGTGGGAGAAGATAAACAAGGCCTATGAAAATGTGAATCTTTAGGGAGACGGACTCTGGGAAATTAAATATTGAGAGAAAACTTGTGGGATGAGGCAATAAATAAAGCTTGACATCTTCACTCTCATTTTTAATTAAAGACACACACAATTATGTTAGCTGGGCTTGCAAATTCTTGAAATAAGCTACAGACAAAAATAAAGAGTCCATTAAGGTTGTGGGGGAAAACAAGCAGCTGTAAGCTTTGGTGTTCCATTACGCTGATCGGAGGAAAAGAGGCACGAACAGTTCAGCCACCAAAGCTCAGTATGGAAATCCCATGTATCTGTACCCCAGAAACCTCTGGAAACCTGGAAATCTGGAAACCTCTGAACCCAATCTGCCCATTGTAGTAATAGATAGTAAAGGGTCCCTGATGAATAAATCATAACTACAACAGTGAGGCAGACACTTAGTGTGATTTAAAATACAACCCACACCCAACTCCCACCAAAGGCATTTTTTTATAGCGTACAGAATTCAATCATGTGATTTCCCCACTTGCAGGCATACAGGTCAGATACAGGTTTACCTGCCTGAAAGAGAACTAGCCCTACAATAATAGATTTGCAGAGCTGACTGCCCCAGCAAGAGATGCTTCCAAAGTATTGTGCCCGGGAGGGCAACATAGGGAGGGGCCATATCTCCATGGTAAAGCAATGCTTTGCATGCCAAGTTTGCAGCTCCATTCCTGGGCATCTCCAAGACCTCGACCACAGATAGATGCTCCCAGTCAGGAGAAGCAATGCTGGGGCTGTATGGACAAACAGTGACTCATTTCTGGGATTATGGCTGCCTACTAGCAGACAATGCATGTGAGGACCATAGGATGTGTAAGTCCAAGGACAGAGCTCCTCCTTGAATGTGTACTGCTAAATGAGAGTTCATGTTGGGTCTAAAACCCAATAAGCCATCACCCATTAAAAAGACTACCCTGTTTTGTTGTTGTTTAGTCGTGTCCGACTCTTCGTGACCCCATGGACCAGAGCACGCCAGGCACTCCTGTCTTCCACTGCCTCCCGCAGTTTGGTCAAACTCATGCTGGTATCTTCAAGAACACTGTCCAACCATCTCGTCCTCTGTCGTCCCCTTCTCCTTGTGCCCTCCATCTTTCCCAACATCAGGGTCTTTTCCAAGGAGTCTTCTCTTCACATGAGGTGGCCAAAGTATTGGAGCCTCAGCTTCAGGATCTGTCCTTCCAGTGAGCACTCAGGGCTGATTTCCTTCAGAATGGATAGGTTTGATCTTCTTGCAGACCACCCTGTTGGTACCCTCTAATTAGCTATAATGAGGCAACATCTAGCAACATATTGCTCAACTCTCTCTTGCCATTTAGCAAGGGGCAAAACTAGGCTTTATTTCACCTGGGTCAAAGACCCAGTTTGGCGCGCACACACTCATGTGCATTTGAGTACAAACACACATAGGCCGGGAGCCTCAATGGCGCCCCTCTGGAGACTTCACCCGGGGCACTAGCTAATTCATTCTACAATACAGATTAACATCAGCTTCAGCCTTTAAAAGTATTGAAAAGCAACATCAGGAGGGTATAAATTGCGAATGAGAGAAGGCGACACCACTTTCCCCCTGGAACTGTCTCCCCACAGCTGCTTCCTTCCGAGAGCCAGTGTAGTGGAGTGGTTAAGAGCGGTGGACTCGTAATCTGGGGAACCGGGTTCGATTCTCCGCTCCCCCACATGCAGCTGCTGGGTGACCTTGGGCTAGTCACACTTCTCTGAAGTCTCTCAGCCTCACTCACCTCACAGAGTGTTTGTTGTGGGGGAGGAAGGGAAAGGAAAATGTGAGCCGCTTTGAGACTCCTTAGGGTAGTGATAAAGCGGGATATCAAATTCAAATCCAAACTCTCTCTTCCTCTCCTGAAGACAGACAACATTTACAACAGAAATGTGGGCTTGAAATGTGTCCCATGTGGCAGTTTGGGATTAAAAGGTGGTCCTACTGTGCTCTGTTTAAGGAGGATCCTGGGTCCTGCTTCTGAAAAGATTCAAGGTGACAGATGCCACAGAAAGAAGATGGCAACAAGTACAATCAAATTACATACATTAACACATGGAATGGTCACCAATGGAGATCTGGGAGGGAGGATTCCAGGGGCAACAGATCCCAAACCAGGCTGGTGAAGTGGGCGTCACTGCCTCACCTCTCAACCCAGTGGCTATCAGCCCAGAGAGATGTGCTGATTTTCTAGAGAGCTCACCACCACCACCACAAGGAAGCATTCATACATAACAGCGTGAACTGGTACAGTCCAAGGAAAAGCGTGGTTGCTTCTTGATTTGGCTGAATGTGGCAACCCTTCCGTCATAGAAAAGATGCCTGAGCCAACTGTGATAGAACATTAACTTTTCACAGTACAACTTCAAGATGCATTGTTCATGCCCAGTGAAGCTGTGAGGCTCACATGTGTTGTATTCTAGGACCAATATTATTTTAATGCAAACTGAAGTACGTATGTGTTTTTTAGCAGGCCTTAAAACATGGGTGGGCAAACTAAGGCCCGGAGGCTGGATCCGGGCCCAATCGCCTTCTAAATCCGGCCCGCAGACAGTCTGGGAATCAGTGTGTTTTTACATGCGTATAATGTGTCCTTTTATTTAAAATGCATCTCTGGGTTATTTGTGGGGCATAGGAATTCGTTCATTTCCCCCCCCCAAAAAAAAAATACAGTCCAGCCCCCCACAAGGTCTGAGGGACAGTGGACCGGCCCCCTGCTGAAAAAGTTTGCTGACCCCTGCCTTAAAAGTTTCCCTGTTCACTTTAAACCAGGGGAAAAGACCTTGCACCAGCAAGTAAGAGTCAAGAAGCTTGACAAAAAATTACAAACCTAGACTCCCTGGGAGTCTGAGCCATTCAACAAAAAAAACATCAGTTTCTTGTTCCAAATTAAAGTTCCAACGTCCTTTTAAAACCTCAGAAGTTTAAATGACCTAATTTGTTTGGCAGCAAAAACTGGGGCCATAGGCTTTAGAGCAAGTCACATTCCTAAAACATCTTTAGTATCAGCACCATATAAGGCAGTCTGTATCCTGCTCTGCTTCGCTCTTATCCCCGGAGATTAGCAGAGCCAAGAAGACATTGTACATAAAAAATGAAGACAGGAAAACAGACTAGGGAACCAGAGTACTTGCTTTTTATCCTAGTCTGAAAAATTGTTCCCTGCACTCAAGATATTTTTGCTCTTGAGGGTCATCAATAATGAGGTTAACTCTGTACACATAGAACATAACTATATTTCTCGGCAGCTAACTCCCCTCCCACCCCA